ATATGAACATTTTCCAGAAACAATTTATAATACATTTTTTAAAATACCAGCTTAATGGTATTTATTTACAAAAATATTTCAATACCTAATTTTAAAGTTTTGATGTAATGACAGTTTTTTTTGCTGATAAAGTACAGAAATGCAAAATAACTACAAAGTTTTAACACATTTTTTAGTGTTTGCAGTTTTTTTTTTTTTTTTTAATGATACAGTACACAGATTTTTTAAAAAACTTGTTTCAAATGCATATTCCAGCAATTACCTTTGAGATAGTTACTGGGACTGAGCAAGATTAAAAAAGAAAAAAAAAGTGTAGCAACTGAAAAACACCTGCATGTACAGCTTAAGATACACAAGCTACAGCTCTATACCAAGCATGCTTGCCCTTGACGTGGACAATGTTAGAAACTAAATCTTGCTCTCTCTTATATTGTCTTTTGGCAATGCATTTACAATGAACCCATAGTATAACTTAGAAAGCAAAAGGTTTTCTGCTTCTAACTACCATGTTGAGCAGAGATCACACCTAAAGTATCACAGTACTGTTTATTTACAAAAAAATAAATGAAAGAAATTAAAACATGATTTATCTTCTTTGCATTGCTTTCCACTGATATATTGAGTCCGTTTCAACTCCTTACATTGTTTTCAGTTGAACAACACAAAATAGCAAAAGTATTTTAAAAAACAAATTAAAATAAATATAATTCCATTGCCATTAATGTACCTCCCTTTTTAAATGCCTCAAACGACCTACAATAAAGTAATACTGATGTATTTACACACACTATAAAATTTCAAATTAAACTATAAGCCTCATTGCAAAGTACTGGCAAAACTGACATTCATGTTTTTTTTTTTCCTTCATGTAAAGAGAAAAAATAAAAAAGAGCACTTACAAGTAGTCGTGTATTCAATTTATAAATGAATTATGACTAATAAAATTTAAGACTGTATTAGTGACTAAAGGAAGCAATGTCAGAACCCTAATAATTGGGAAGTTATGAAAATCATTTAATTCAGCTGAGAAAGGTTAGTTAGTTTTCTTTTGGTTTTGGTTGTAACAACCATTTTCTGTCCACAGAACCTTTGGAATTTCTGAGGCAGCAGTAAGATCATTAAATCATTAATATTCACAGGAAAAATAATTCCTATAGCACTTTACAAGAAATTGATCAGAATGATGAGAAGAGCAATTAACAAAAACTGTAAACATATCTTCACATTCATTTTTAAATGAAAAAAACAAAACAAAAAACAACTACTTTTTGTGGGCATAAACTTCAATCAAAGAGAACACCCTAAGAGGAAAAAGAAAAGAAAAAAAGAACATTTAAGATATAGCAGTTAAAAAGCCTAGGAATATTGATCAAGTATCAAACTGATAAGGAATAAATTCTATAAACTACAAAATAAAAACCTTCATTGACAAAAATACATAAACTCTGTTTTCATTTTTTGGAAATTTATTTTTAAAAAAGGTAGAAGAAAATACCTGGAAAACTATTTTAAATATATATATATATCTATATATATCTATAGTTATATTTTAAAACAATAGGTAAAGTAGGCATCCAACAGCAAGCTGTAGCTATTGAGAAAGACCTTGAAATTACTGTTGTGGGCATTTTCCCCCAAAATAAAAATAACATTTGAAAATGCTCAATAGATTTTTTGTTTTGTATTTTTAACTATACCAATAATATCTTTCCTGACATGTGAAGACTTTAAATGATGTATGATTTTTAAAATTAATTGTATCTCGATATGAGATATCAATATTTCTTATTATAAGCGTAAAACATAACTTTTTGTATGGATAATATACATACTTTTTAAGTACTTTGACTTAAAACTTAACAAGTTCACCGTTTTTAAAATTAAAGAGTACATTTATAAAAATTTCATTTTAAAACCAAAAGTATATTCTCTAGCAGTATGTATAAATATAACATGTTACTGTATGATTGTAAAACAAATCTGAAAGTGTTGGAATCATTTAAGACCAAGAACACTGAAACAAATAGGAAATAATTTTACTTCTTTTTATCTATATAAAACCCTATTAAATAAGGTTTTAAAACTGATCAGTTTGTTTAAGGTAAAGCTAGCAGCATATTCATGATTTTGGTATTTTTTAATACAATGTATCACTTGATTTAAACTGAGAAATGGATTAAATGATAATAAAAGTTTTCCTTACCTAAAAAAGTGCAGAAAAATTCAAGTTTAAAGTTCAGTGCTCTTTATTTTGCAGAAACAAATAAACAAAATCTCCAAAGTTAAAATGTAAAATAAATCTTTGCCACAAAAAATTTACCTTTGGATATAGCTCTTCCATTGTCACATGATAAATGCCTCAAGCAAAACATATATGGAATATAAAACTCAAGGTAAAACTCTAGAAAATAGAACTCAAGTTAAAACCCTGAACTCTGTGGTGTCTTCCACATATTCCTTTCCTCAGCTGTTTCTGCAGTATCACCTGTAACCTAAAAGTATATAACACTTTCAGACTTGTTTAAGACACATATCTCTACATGAAATAACTTCAGAAGAACCTACAAGAAGTTGTAAGTAAAATAAATGTTTCTTTCTTTAAAGTATTATGCTGAATTAAATTGCAACATATTTACACACAATAACAAACAGCAGCATTGTTTCACATCCATAAAAAATTAAAAAATTAAGAAGTTAGTAATTAGCTTATTTGAATTTATAATACGTTTTTGGAAACACTTCATATGATTGAAATGCAAACCAAAGGTGTTAATGCAAAATTCCAATTTGTTAAGAGTATAAGATTTTAAATAACTTTCTAAGCAATGTATATGGATTTTAGTTTTGCAAAGTGAAACAAACTGGGTATGTGGCACACATAAAGGGGAAACCACTTTCTACTGACAAAGGCTAACTGATGAATACTTCAATGATTTTAGTGCAACAAAATGCAACAAAAAACACTGACATGGATAAAGCACACAAAAATCTTTAATCTTTCTGATATTTTCTATTTTGACCTCCTTTCTTTTATTTTATTCTTTTCTTTTTCTTTCTTTTTTCTATTTTGGTTAGTTTTCCTGAAATCCTGGCTTGCTGGTGACTACTACTTTTTGCATTAAAAAAATATCTCTCAAATTACAATAAATTCCCTGGGTTAGTTATTAATACAGACTCTTATCTACAGACTGAATCAAGTGTTAACTCAGAAGTTTATTTCCTATGCTAAAAAAGTAGTTTAAGCTTTTTAATGCTAAGTGAGTCTCTAGTTTGTTGCACATGATTTGTAGATTAATTTTAAAAATAAAATAAAAAACTCAAAACACTGATTTAAGATTTTCTTATAAAATCCATCTCAGGTTAGTCTATCTACTTTTCTAATTTGGAAATAATTACAAGTTTGGTTCATTTTATATACAAGAAAAATGACAGTAAAAATAAAGTTGATATTAAAATAACAAAAAATAGCACAGCAAATAAAATAAATAAAGCTAACATGACCTTCCAAATGGATGGACAATCAATCAATATATTAATTTACTTAATACTTCTTAACTTTCTTAAATCTATTACTGCTGATTTTACTGATGGCATTCACCACCAAACTATACCTATAAAAATAATCTAATATTTCCTGTGACATATCATGGAACAATGAATCTACTATTAGATAATATAGAAATAAGTAATTTGTAAACTGCTCAATGTTCAAACACAGCTGATACGAACTAAACAGAAGTACGTTATTCATCAGTACTTTCTACAAATCCAAAAACTTTTGAAAATGACTGTATTTTAAAAATATTTCTTTTGACTTGATTTATCATCTGTATCACATATCACATATATTTAGGTCCTACCCAATAATATTTAAAGTAAACTTTGATGTAAACTTTTACATCCTGCAGTGCACATTATAAAATGTAAACAAAAGTTTTCTTAGTGAAAAGAGTAAGGAAGAATATATGCATAACAGAGTGCATGAAAAAGATGTTCTACATATAGCTTTAATGATCATATGGAATAGAAAAACAATCATGTTTGCAGTCAATTTGTGCTCAGATAATATCTTAATGAAAAATAAAATTACTTAAAACAATTTTTATAGAAGACAATATTAAAATTTCATTAACATTAATTTTAATGCTTCTATTTTGATCTTCCTTTGCTGCTCTAACAATAATCAATTATGATCTCAGATTAGCCTGTATTATTAGATTGCTTGCTTCCAGATCTATGGAGTGATTACTTTCCTGTCTGTAATGCTATTCTATGAACCAGTCATTCATTGTCCACAGCTATCTTAATTTGCATTGTATTCCATTACAGAAATAATTTTGTTACCAAAGTGTAAGTATTTTCCTTTTCTTTGGCTTTTTAAAACCTTGAAAGGATATGTACAGATTTTTTTATTATATTTATACAGCAAATATTTTGTAGGTCATCAGACTAGACTCTTATATAGATACTTATTGACAACAGATGCTTATAGTTTTCCATGCGATAGCATGTGCATTAAGATTTAATTGGCTCATCACCTGAGTGTATTGGAACTGTTAGCAAATAAAGGGCATTTTAAAAGGGGAGCTGAGCATTTTACTGAAATAATGAAACTTTTTTTTTTTAAAGCAATTTTAATTAAATAATGCAAAGGTACATTTGGTTAAACATTTTATAAAAATTCAAGCAAAATTAAAAACTTAGCCAATTTCAACTTTTCTACAAATTTAACCAGTAACTACTTTGGTCAGATCCACCTTTAGCTGAATTAATGAGAACGAGGACAAAGGACATTGAAGTATTCTCCTCCCCACAATGGAGGTTTTTCTCACTTTCCACACTGCATAGCCACTACATGGAAACTCCCAGAATGATGAGCAATTCAGTCATGCTCTACACTTTTCTTTTCAATGAAAAGTGATGTATCACCTTGTTTTGCTTTTGACAAAATATGAACTAAACACAAGTATATAATAACAAGAATCCAAGAGTAGCCCATACACAAGTCAACTATGTGTATGATTTTATTATTTAAAGCCCACCATTCAGCTTAGTCTAAAGAAAGGGAAATAGTTTTGTTTCTTTTTCACTAATGATACTGATGACCAGTCAATTTAAGGGAGGGAAAGTCCAATACAACTGTTTATAATCCAGTCTGATGACACAAACTACTTCAGCTTCAGAACTTTGGACTTACTGCCTCTCCCCAAAACAGGTCAAACACTGATGGCAGACACAACAGCATGAAATCTTTTGGCATATAAAAGTTTAATACAGGAATGATCCAAGGAATAGTCCCTGCCATGTCTCCTCAGCTTCCCCTTTTGTTTCTTCATCTGTCACACGTGACTTGGTTAGTATCCAAATTGTCAACTCACAGCCTGCACACACCATATATTCCATTTTGAGTGTGTGTGTGAACGCCCCTCAGTTAATGCCAATTGACTGAGGTAAAACAGTGCATGATTGTGCTAGAAAGTATTCAGCGATGAACATCCGTTGAATGTTAACTTTCTTAAATCAGTGAAATAAAAAAGGAAATTTTTTTCCTTCTGGCTGAAGTTGGACTTAATTGGATTCTGGGTGTCAGAACTGGTACCACTTTTTATCTTTGTATTTCAACATCATCTAAAGAGGAAGAAAGTGGGGGGGAGAGAAACATTTTTAAAATGCCAGAACAATGGTATTTATAACTGGTTTCTATATTTTTCAAAAACATTGTGTTATTCTGAAACATTCTCTAGTGTTACTATATTGCTTACTTCAAATCATTTCATTGAAAGTGTTAAGAACTGTTCTATTTAGAGAAAAAAAGTGACTACAACCATTAAGAACTAGCTGGGAAGGTCCTCAAATTTCTTAAGAGAGGTGACCCTAATTTGGTGACTAAGCTAATAAAACTACAAATTACTTTTCTTCTCACTTAATAAATGAAGAACCTGAGGCTTCTAGGGGCTACTCATGTCAACATAATGGTGAACCTGGGATTTGAGTTCAGGCTGTCTGATTCAAGAAGCCATGACTGTAACCACCTCAATGTAGTATCTTCCTTAGACTCTTAATATGACTGAAGAACATCTAGCAGAAGAAAAAAGCTATGAATTTGAGCTTTTTGCTAACTATTTAGAGTGTGGATATATTATGAAATCATCAAAAATGCTATGTGCCTTAGGGATCATTCAGTTAGATGGTAGAGCTCTGACAACAAAAATCTAGTCCTGGATTGAAGGCTACTAACCTACATCTGTGGTGCATGTGGGCACATGTACAAGTACTCCCACAAAGGACCTCTCAATCTGTTTGAGGTCCTGAACAAGTATTTCCCAGGTCATGTTACCTCTTTCATGCATTCTAGATTTCAGCTCTCTTGAGCAAAGAGGAGATGACGTTTGGTTGAAACATTTAAGGGAGAGTTATTATTAAAGATTTAGGTGCACAAGTAAAAAAAATAATTTTGATATGGTTCCTTCAGACAACAAACTCAAAATATCAAGGGACAATCTAAGAATTAAATATGGGGAAGTACCCCATGTCAAAGCATGGAACGGCAGAAGTGCAAAAGTGAAAAAAAATGTGTATTTTACATAAAGTCTTATTTTAAGTTCAGTTTTTAAGAAGCACTATGTTAGTCCACAAAAACATGTTTATCAGAGGTCATTTTGAGATCCCCTACTTTTTAGCATCTGTTTCTGAGCTCTACCATGACTTAAAAGTACTTCAAAATGAGTTCAATGCAAAATGAATCTGGTTACCCTTCCATATTAATTGGTTTCAAGATAAACTTAGTATTGTTTATTTGCATCAAAATGTTATCCATTTTAATTATTTAGATTTACCAGGCAGAATCAATGAGGCGAATTATTTCCTTCTCTAGGACAAGGTGAGAGTATACTCTGAGGTATTAAGGAAAATTAGCATTGTTATGCATTTGCTAAGAAATAGTTGCAAAGATGTTGGCATTGTTTATAGATCCTGAAGGTGAGCAGATCTTCCAAATTTATAAACTTCAGTAAGAAATCAAAGGTTACTGAGACATATTCTTGTAAAGGTTCCCTCTGGTGGCAAAAATCAGGGATTTGTGCTTGTACAAAGGATATAAGCAAATTCATGTATACAGAAATACACAGCTATATAAATATAATAATGTTCATACTTGCTTTGTCTAGGGTTTTTTGTTGAAATATATGTTGGACAGACATACCTCATGAGCATGTTTAGAAAATGAATCTGCACTTGATAACATAGCTGCTGTTCTTTCTTCTAAGTCACCAAGCTTCTGCCCTCTTTCATCCAGTGCCAACCTGGCTCGTGCCAATTCACCAACAACTCCAGAGGCTGCCCCTTTCACACCTTCAATGCCACCAGGGCCAGGGATATGCTGTGCAAGACTCCGTGAAGCTTTTCCTGAGGATGACTCTCCAACTAAAAGGATTTGATAAATGAAAGAGTTAATTCAAAAGCTGAAGATTTCTATTAATATAAAATCCTACTACAAATTTTCATTTGAATGACAATATAACTGGAATATTTATATATATAACTATCATTAATGTTTTTCTTTTATTATAATGTATTAAATCAGTTCTAGATACTTCTTCCAAACATGCAAAATACTAGGCACATTAATAAATACCCATATTGATATATTAGTTCATACAGCATGACTTGTGCAAAAAAAGGGTGGTAATTATCTGTTGAAACGAGTAGTAAGCATACTGACACCAATTTATACAATCAAATATTATTCTTAAGAGTTCAGAAAATTAGAGATTATTAACTTAAAGATTTTACATTCAAATGTATAGATTTAAATATACAAATTTGATTTAGTTTTACCCCATAATTCCTAAAGACTATGTTTAGTCTCAGAAGAAAAATGAATTTAATCAGTATTCTATTTTAGTCTCCAAAATTTGTAGATATCATACATTTGTTATCTCCATTTACTCTGTCTTTACAAAACAGATCAATTTTTTCCTTCAAAGGATCATTGTTTCTCTTCCCTTCAGAATCCAGACCCTGAATATCTAATACCTATTAAAGTCTTAAATTCTTACAAGAGTTATTCCAGATTCATTCCCTCTTCTTTCAGTTTACCTTTAAAGGTTAACAATTCAGTGGTTTTTAGTTTATTCACAAGGCTGTACAACCATCACTTCTATCTAATTTCAGAGCCTTTCATCACTCCCAAAGAAGCCCCCACACCTGTTAGTAGTCACTTTGCACTCTTCTTCCAGTCCTTGTCAATTACTAATATAGTCTTGTCTCTATACATTTGCCTATGCTGAACATTTCATGTGATGGATTCATACAGTATGTAACCTTTCATGGCTAGTTTATTTCACTGAGAATAACGTTAAGGTTCATCTATGTTGTAGCATATAACAGTACTTTTTTCCCTTTATGTATGAAGAACATATTATTGTATGTATACATTTTGAATATCCATCCATTAATTAATAGACATTTGGGCTGTTTCCACTTTTTGGTTATTATGAATAATGCTATCATGAACATTTACAGAAACTTTTGTGTGAATGTTTATAATTCTCTTGGGTATGTGCCCAGAAGTAGAAATGTTGGGTCATATTGTAACTTGATGTTTTAACCTTTGAGGGAACTGTTAAGACAATTTTCTGAAGAACATGGACCATTTCTCATACCTGTCTGCAATGTACAAGCATTTCATGTTCTCCATATCCTTGCTACCATCTGTACGTATGTCTTTGAGAGCCAACCTTGTAAGTATGAAGTGATATTTCATTGTGGTTTGATTTGGATTTCTCAAATAACAAATGATACTGGGCATCTTTTCCTCTGCTAATTGATCAGCTGTACATTTTCTTGGGAGAAATATCTATTCCATATTTTCCCCATTTTGAAATTGGGCTATTTGTCTTTTTATTATTGAGTTGTAAGTGTTCTTTATATATTCTGGATACTAGATCTTATCAGATAGCAGATATACTACTTGCAAATATTTAACTTTCTTTGGACTATCTTTTCACTGTTTTCTTGATATATTGTTTTGAAGCACTGTTTAAAATTTTGACAAATTCTAATTTATCTACTTTATTCTTTGGCTGCTTGTGATTTAGGTATCATATCTGAGAAACCACTGCCTAATCAAAGATCACAAAAATTTTTACCTATGTTTCCTTCTGAGGGTTTTGTATTTTAGCTTAGACTGAGGTCTTTTACCCTTTTTGAGTTTATTTTTTATATGCTGTGAAATTGGGTCCAACTTCATTTATTTATTTATTTTTGTATGTGGATATCCATTTGTTCCAATATCATTTGAATTTTCTTGACATCCTTACAGAAAACCAATTGACTATAAATATTACAGGTTTACTTCTGGACTCTCAATTCTAGTCCACAATCTATATATCTATCTTTTAATATTTATTTTTTTTAGTTTTCGGTGGACACAACATCTTTATTTTATTTTTATGTGGTGCTGAGGATCGAACCCAGCGCCCCGTGCATGCCAGGCGAGTACGCTACCGCTTGAGCCACATCCCCAGCCCATATATATCTATCTTTATGCCAGTATCCCTCTATATTGATGACTAAATCTTTGTGGTAAATTTTGAAATCAGAATGTGTAAATCCTCTTGGTATGTGCCCAGAAGTAGAACTGTTGGGTCATATTGTAACTTGATGTTTTAACCTTTGAGGTTAAAACATCAAGTTACAATATGACCTACTTTTCTCTGCCATACTGTTCTACCATGTTGCTCTACCTCACCTTAGTCTTCTTTTTTGGGGGATATTAGTTTTTGTATGGCTATCTGTATTCCTTGCATTTTTAAAAAAATTTTTTTTAGTTATACATGGGCACAATATATTTTGTTTATTTATTTTTATGTGGTGCTGAGGATCGAACCAAGGGTCTCACACATGAGAGGCGTTTGCTCTACCACTGAGCCACAACCCCAGTCCCTGTATTCCTTGCATTTTAATGAGTCTTAGGAATATCTTGCTTTATGCAAAAACTCAGTGGGATTTGAATGGGTATTGTTAAGTGTATAGATCAATTTGGGCAGTACTGATATCTTAATAGTCTTAAGTCTTCCAATCCATGAACATGAGATGCTAGTTCATTTATTTATGTCTAACTTTCTTTATATTTCGAAGTTTTCAGTGTACATGTCTTTTACTCCTTTTGTTAAATTATTTTCAAGGGGTTTATATTGCAAACAGAATTATTTTCTTAATTTCTTTGATTATTTGTTGCTAGCATATAGAAATGCAGTTGTTTTATACAGATCTTATATCTTTTAATCTTGCTGGACTTTTTTGATAGCTGTAATTTTTTTGGTGGATTTCTTAGGATCTACTTCATGCAAGACTCTATTTGCAAATAAAGTGTTTTACTTTTTCCAATATGCATGCCTTCCACACTTCATTTTCTTGCCTAATTGTCCTTAATGTGGTAAATTACTGATTGATCTTTTCTTTTTAAAAGGACAAATCAACTTTGAATTCTTGTGCTTGATGTATTATCCTCATTGGTTAATATTGGATTTGTTATATTAATATGAACTTTTGAATTTTATATATATATCCAAAGGTGACAGTTGCCTTTATTTGTTCCTTTCTCAGAGTGTTTAGGTTTTTACTAGAAGGGTCGTGTTAAAATGAGTTGATAAGTGTACATTCTTTTTTGATCTGTTTGAAAAAGACAGTGTGGAAGCAGGTTTTTTCCCCTAAATATTTGATAAAATTTACTAATGGAGCCCAGTTTGTACCCAGAGTTTACTTGTGGAAGTCTGAAATAACAGTTTCAATATCAAATAAGTATATTGCTATTTTTTTATTGTTTTTTTGTCCATCTTGTTTTTTTTTTTTTTTTTAGGAATTTATTTACTTCACCAAATATTTAAAAAATTTTTAAATAAAATTATGTTTCATTTCCTCATTTTAAATTTTTACTTAAAATATTTTTAATGCATTGTAGTTATATATTATAGTGGAGTTCATTTTGAAATATTCATAAATGCATATAATATAATTTGCTCCGATTCAATCCCCAGTACTTTTCGTTTATTTTCCCTTCTCTTCCCCTGATCTTCCTTCCTCTACTCTACTATACTGTTCTTCCCTCTATTTATTATTTCTTTTAATTGGTGCATTATAGTTATACATAAAAGTGGAGTTCACTGTGATATATTCATATATGCACATAGTATAATTTGGTCAATTTCATTTGAAAATGGTAATAATAACTTCAGTGATAGCTGTTTTCTCCATCCCTACAGTGATCACTTTTCCTTTCTTTATTCTTGCTTGGTTTCACCAGAAGAATCAACATTTTTAGCTTTTGTTATAGACTAAATGGTGTGTGCCTCCAAAGTGCCTATGTTGATATTTAATCGCCAATGTGATGTTGGGCATGGGGCTTTTCAGAGGTAATTAGGTTATGAGAGTGGAGGTCTCATGAATGGGATTAGGGCCTTATAAGGGCCAGAGAGCTAACTTGCCTCTTTTCTCCCATGTGACGATACTGAAAGAAGATGGCTATCTGAAAACCACCAAGAGGACTCTATTTTAGTCAGCCTTTTCATTGCTGTGATCAAAAGAAGTGACAAGAACAATTTTAGAGGATGAAGTTTATTTGGTGCTCATGTTGTCAGAGGTCTCAGTCCTTAGAAAGCCAACTCCATTTCTTGGGGACTAAGGTGAGGCAGAACAACCTGGTAGAAGAGTATGGCAGAGAAAAGTAGGTCAGGATGTTGCACCCAGGAAGCAGAGAGAGCGAGCTCCCATCACCAGGAACAAAATGTATACTCCAAAGGCATGCAACCCCCATGACCTACCTACCTACCTCTTCCAGCCATATCCTATTTGCCTACAGTTACCACCCAGCCGATCCCCATTAGAGAATTAAACAACTGATTAGGTCAAACCTTTCTTAACCCAGTTATTTCACCTTTAAACTTTTTTGCAACATCTCACAAATGGCCTTTTAGGGATACCTAATATCTAAACCATAACAGACTCTCACCAAGAACTTGACTCTACTGAAAACCTGCTCTTAGATTTCTAACCTTCAGGACTATGAGAAATAAATTTCTATTGTTTATAAGCCATCTGGTCTATAATATTTTGTTATAGCATCCCAAACTAAGACTGTTTTGGTACATATATATTTTTGCTGTGTATTTATTTACCATTTCATTGATAACCTTAATCTTTTTTACTTTACCTTTCTATTTTTCTAACTTTTTGAGATGGATGCTCAGTTTAATCACTTTAATGTTTTCTTTTTCTAATACTTAGTATATACTTAGGGCTACGAATTTTACTCGTAAGTGCTACTTTGTATAAATACCAAATGCAAAATGGTTTTTGTCTGCCTGTTAAATCAGTCAATGGGTATACTGATTGATTGGGAAATTGTCTTTTCTAATAGTCATCTCAATATTTGTTTTTCTTGACTTTAAAGAGAAAATATTAGTTGTATTCAAATAGTGTTTTAATGTCTAGTTTTTGTGACATTAATAGACTTATACCAAGCTGGCTCTTCATTTGTACTGATGCTTTTCCATCTTTTAAAGTTTCAACCTTTGTATCCTTAGGTTTTAAAGGTGTTTTTTACATGCAATGAATATTTCTTTCATTTAAAAATTTTTCCTTGTCTTTTAAATGAAACATTTATTTTACCTATATTTGCTACCATTATTTTCATTTAAGTTAAATCTGTCATCCTTTATGTGCTTTGTACTTATCCCACTTGTTTTGTGTTCTTTCCTTTCTTGCTTTCTTTTGGAAAAACTGTGGTTTTTCCTACTATTCACCTGGAAGTTATAGGCCATTAGTCTAGATTTTAGAAGTTACTCTAGAAATTATAACTAGTAATTATACTTATATTCTTATACATCAATTTTCCCCAAATCATTATTTTCTACACCTATGACATTCCAATGAGAATAATTTTCTTTTTATCTCAAGCACACCTTTTAGAATTCCCTTGCATGTGGTGGCAAGTCTTACTTCTTGTTCATTTGCCTAAAAATGTCTCATTCTTGAAGGCTATTTTCTTTGTGTATAGAATCATAGATTAAATATTATCTTCTATCAACATATAAAAGAGCACCTTATTATCTGTTAAGTCATGTATCAGTCTATAACATGTTAAAAGACACATCATTTTTCTCTATCCAGTTTAAAGATTTTTCTTCTTATGTTTAATGTATTATATAAGTCTATCTAGTTGATGAGTTTATAAAAAACAACTGAAATTCATTAGACCTCTTAAATTTGTGCATCAGCATCATTTCTCAATTAAAAAAAAATTTAGACATGTCTTTACATATTGATTCTTTTTATATTTCCTTCTTGAGGTTTAAACATGTATTAGATTTACTCACTGCAAGTTCTATTTTGGGGGCTCTCCTCTATACTCTACATGTTTTTGTTTTTTTGTGACACATTTTGGATGGTTTCTTCTTTAAGTTATGAATTCTCTCTTCATAAGTTGTCTAATTTGCAACTTATGCCTATTCAGTGATCACCATTTTGTTTTTTTCATCTTTAGTTCCAGTACTTCATTTTAGTTTTTTTTCCCTATCTATGAAATTTTTATTTATCATCATGAACATGATATAAGTTGACCAACCCTAATCCAACTGTCCAGAATCCAAAACTTTTTGAGAGCTAACATGATGCTCAAAAAATTTCAGATTTTGTAGCATTCCATATTTTCAGATTGAAACTGGTAAAAGTCTGTGCAAAAATTCAAAGACTCCAAAATTCTAAGGATTGAAACACTTCTGCTACCAAGCATTTCGGTTAAGGGATATTCAACATGCATGAATAATTACTGCATAGTTTGTGTCTGCAAATTTCAGTATTTTAAGTGCTACAATCCTAATTCTGCTTTTTCTGTTTTACTTTTCAATGTTCCTGGTTATCTATGACTTTATGACTATATACTTAAAAACCTATATTTAAAGATTTAGAATATGTTACCTCTTTCAAAGAAACTCATCCCACCTTCCTCACCCATTTTCTAGGTTCTGAGGAATCCAGCAGTCTGGGAAAATCTTAATGAACACTTAAAGTTTTCCAAGTCACTCAAATAATTTGAAGCTGTGCTGAAGTTTGTGTAGACAAAGGCTAGTTTGTTCCCAATTCACCCTTACTCTTAAATTGTAGCCCTTTGGGATCCTTGCAAAGAGGAAGAGTTATTTCAGGGTTCCTGTCCTTGCCAGCCTGGGAGACTATCCTGCAAGCCCTAACACAGTTACGTATCTCAGCTTCCTATTTCAAATAAGCAGAGTATTCCCGGATAGGTTCAGCACTCTGGATTCTCATGCTTTCTCATGGGTACTATACTTCCTGCTAGAATTTGGAAAAGTTTGAAGAAGTGGGCTAGAGAAAGTCTATAATGCTGGAAGTGGAGCTTAATGGATGATATTGGTGGGGCCTAGGTAGAACAGAATGCTGACAGAAATGCAGAGAGTAAAGGCCGTACTGATGAGGTATGTGATAGAAATGAGGACACTCTTGGGAATTGGATTAGAGGCCACTTGTGTTATATTTTGGCAATTTTTTTCCCCTACATTTTGTCCATGCCTTGAGTCTAGTGAGGCTGAGTTTAAAGGCGACAGACTATTTAATCTGGTAGAGAAAATTTCAAGGCAGCACAGCATTCAGTCAGTGCCATAGATAATGTTGGATGCTTTTAGACAAATTTACATTACAATTGGGAGCACAGGGCACAACAAAAAGCATTAAAAAATTTGCAGTTTGGCCAGAATATATGTTTAAATTTAAGGTCAAGGAGGGTGAGGGTATTAAAGATTAGAAACTTTAAAAGGAAGCCAAGTACTGTGCATTGAGACAAAAGGAAAGATGCCTTGAAGGCAATTCAGGAACAAGCAAGACCCTACTCACTGTAGGTTCAAAGGCTTTTGTTTGAGAAAACAGCTCTGAGGGCATAAGATTTGCTAGCACAAGACCACTTAGTGAATTTTTTTGCCTGTGTTCAGCTGTCTAGGGACTCAGAGACCAATGTAGACTTGGTCCATATAGGCCTGGATTCTGCTCCAGTTGCTGGCGTACCCTGGCACTGTCCACTGATGCTTGTTTTGCAGACATGTAGAATCCAAGAGTTATGGAGTCACGGAGGTTTCTACTGAGATTAAAAAAAGAAAAAACAAAAAACCAAACATACAAAGAAAAAACAAACCCACAAAAACAAACACACACAAACAAACAAAAAACTAAACCAAACTAAACCCTGGGCAATCAGGCAGTGTGTGTGGCAGTTATAAGTTTCTGAAAGCATACCTTGACAGGGCAATGAGTGAATCTGTGAGAGAGAAGCTGAAGCTGCAATGGAGATCCAAGGAAGTGACAGAAGCTAGGAATGGTGGAATACCCAATGAGGGAAGCTACAGGCAAGTAGAGCCAGCAAAAGAGAAAGGCTTTGTGGCTACAGCCAGCAAGGCTATAGGAGCAGGGCTGCCCAAGCATTTTAAGAGCTCACATCATGCCACCATGGCATGCCAGACATGGAGCTATGCTTTGCATGCTGGATTTTGGTCTTGCTTTGGTCCCATTCTTACTATTTTTCTATTCTTTTCTTTTGAAATGGGACTGTTTCCCTTGTGTCGTTGCATCTTGGAAATATGTAACTTTCTTTTTGATTTATACAGGGGTTCATAGCTAAGAATTTCCCTTGAGTCTCAGAGGAGACTTTGGACTTAGAGTTTTGAGTAATGCAGAATAGTTGATAATTTGGGAACTGAAAGCATTTTGCATTGTGAGGTAGATATAAGTCTTTGGAAGTCAGAGGTTGGCTGTTATAGTCTGGATCTTAAGTGTCCCCCAAGGGCTCCTGTGTTAAAAGTTTGGTTCCAGCTCATGCCACAGTTAGGAGCTGGTGGAACCTTCAGGAGGTAGATCACAGTGAAGGGAAGTTGGATTACTGGGGATGTGCCTTTGAACGGGAAATTGGGATCCTGGCCCCTCCTCTCTCTCTGGTTAGCTGCTGTATGCAGTGAGGAGCTCTGCAATATCACACACTCTCTACCATGATGTTCTTAACCTTACCACAGGCTCCAAATAACCGACTATAGACTGAAACCTCTGAAACTGTGAGCTTTTATAAAAGAAATCTTTCCTCCTTTTAAGTTGCTTTTCTCAGGTATTTTACACAGACATGAAAATCTGACTGACACAGTTATTAACTAAAGGCAATCACAGAAATAAAATAATGATGATCACATTTAGTGTAAATAAATACTCTTTAAATTATTCATGCAATTTGTGAATACTTCTTTTTAGCCACTTGAAACTATTCTGATTTTGGTTCCCTGAGAAACATATTTTCTTGATTTGGGACATAAAATAAATAAATAATTTTATTTACTCTTTAAAAATATGAATATATTATGCTGACAAAGAGGGAAAGAGTGAACATAATTTTACACATGTAAAAAAATACATGACTTGAATGTTTCTGTACTATGAAGATATATCATCCAAATTAAATAAATCAACTTACATAGTTCTTCTCTATCAAGGGACTGTGCACCACCTCCAAACAAGCCTTTAAAGAATCCCCTGTTTGGTGCTTCAGGTGTTTCTACAGGAGTGAAGAGTTCACCCAACATCTCCTTTAAAATCAAAACAAATGTAATTGTTAAAGCTTCAGGGAAACTAAACTGTATTAAAAGCATCACTGTAAACTCTCCAATGTAACTTTAGAACATTAACTTTTGAGATTCACAAACAATTAAGCAGAATATTTCGAACAATCAAAGTACATACTGAATTATTCAACAGTAAGTTTCTAAGATTCAATTTACTAAGACTAACTGCTATTTGCTCCTTTTACTGGATTACCTTATTTGCCCTTCAGGCAAAGATGATATTTCTGCTTATACTGAATGGAGATTTTAATCTTCAAGACAAAATTTTCATGTAATTCTTATCGAGATCGAGAATTTATAATTTGGCTTTCTTACATTAGAAAGAATTACACTTTCTACTAGCAGGTCAAGAATTTCAGTGTAATAATAACAAAATATAGAATTAGAATTACAACCTTGAGCTGAGTTAGAAAATCAGTAACTTTTATATATCAGTTTCCTTTTTCATGAACAAATATAGGAAAATAATTATGCTAATATACAACTGGAATTGTATACAATTCTGTTAGGGACATGAGAAGGGTTCCTTTTACATTGTCAGATTTTCCTGAAATTACTGTCAATATTCTTCAGGGAACATTAATGGTAAAAGCCAGTTTAGAGAAAGGAAAGATTGCTGACATGCTACTGATTTTGCTGAGAATACATGAAGAAGGAAGAAGAGCTTCTATTAGAAATGGATGGTACAACATTATTTATAAGGCAGCTATAAAAGTAAATTAAAAATATATTGAGTTTTGGGATTATATTTTTCTCTATTAAAGAGAAGCAGTTACTATATAAAGGCCAAGTACACACACAATGGCTCCAGGTAGGAGTTTTGCTGTACTCTAGTATTACATTATAGTTGGAGTAAAAGTATGAATTTTCATGGTTACTTCCTTAGGGCTAGGCTAAAATAGGATGTACAAAAGTTTTACTTTCAGACATATTCATGTTAATGTTGTCTCTCAAGATGGCAAATAGGAAGAGATAGTTATTAATACTACATGGCACAAGTTTCATTTATAATAGTTAAGTGGACTTAAGGCCTTCCATTTTAATTTTGTTTCCTTTGGAACTGAACAGACATTTCACAGAAGAAGAAATACAGTCAAAAAATATATGAAAAAATGCTCACTATGTGTAGCAATTAGAGAAATGCAAATTAAAACCACACTGAGATTCAATCTTACTCTAGTCAGGATGGAAATTATAAAAAATACAAGTAACAATAAATGTCGATGAGGATGTGGGGAAAAAGGTACCCTCATACATTGCTGGTGGGACTGCAAATTGGTGCAACCACCCTGGGAAGCAATATGGAGATCCCTCAGAAAACTTGGAATGAAACCACTGTTTGACCCAATAATTGATCCAATTATTCCACTCCTCAGTATATACCCAAGGGACTTAAAATTAGCATACTAATTAGACGCAGCTCAACTCACATCATCTAAGCTATGGAAGGGCAACCATCCTAGGTGCCCTTCAACAGATGAACAGATAAAAAAAATGTGGGATATGTACACAATGTAGTATTACTCAGCCATAAAGTAGAATGAAATAATGGTATTTGCCAATAAATGGATGAAACTGGATACAATTATGCTAATTCAAAAAAGCCAACTCTCCAAAACCAAAGTCAAAATGTTTTCTCTGATATGCGGATGCTAACACACAATAAAGTAGGGGTGGGTAGAATAGAAATTTATTGGATTATCCTAAGGGGAATGAAGGGAATGGAGGGGCGATGCGAATAGGAAAGACAGGAGAATCAACTGGACATAATTTTCCTATGTTCATATATGAATACATGACCACATCATGTACAACCATAAGAATGGGATCCTAATTAGAATAAGATACATTCCATGTTTGTATAATATGTCAATATATTCTACTGTCATGTATATCTAAAAAAAATCCAAATCCGAAAAGGAAAAAATAATTGTTTCCTTTGGATTTTTAAAGTACAGCAGAATTGGAATAAAAACATCATAAATTTAATAATTCAAACTTGTTAAAACTACCACAGATATATTGAACCTATTATCACATGGAATTATGTTAGACTCTATCAACATAAAATTAATTTTAGGCATATTTCCAACCTTCTTAAATTGTATTTTACAGATCCTAATTTAATTTATACTTTTGATAGATCCTTTTACAGATTTTATTGGTCTTAAAAATTATTTAATTCTATTGTGCTGATATAACTATAGCAACAATAATGGCAATACAACTATTATTTGAGAGTCTAACATGTTAAACCAAGAGTAATATGATATTTATAAATAGTGATAGTAAAAGATGTGCTTACATTTATTTAACCTTACTTTAAAATTATGACTTATATTTCCTAACTTATTTTGTATTTAATGAGCTTGCAATTATATAAATGTAGAGTAGGAAATACAAGGGAAAAAATTACAATTGTAGAGAGTCACTGTATTCCATGTAGAATGAACATAAACTTTGAAAACAGATGTGAGTTGGATTCTTTGCCTTTTATTAGCAGAGGAAACTTAGGCAAATCAGTCTCTTAGACAAAGGTTTCTTTGATTTTCAAAAGGGAAATGATACCTGTCACTCAGAAATATTAATAGGATTAAAGATAATAAACACATAAATGCCCAAAACAGATATTAATGACATAAATACAAAAATATAAAAATATCCTTTTTTACAGAAAGAATTTCTTTTTTGTAAGAAATAAATTTTTAGAAAATATACATGTCATTTTTCAATAGGTTAACATTAAAATCAGATATCTTTAAATGAAGTTTGAAATTAAATGTATGAGGCTACATTATCCACAGTGTATGAATTTGGGGAAAACACTAAATAATATGCGCTTTCCATGTACTTAAATAAAGATTTTTAACTGTGATTAATTTTATTATTTAGAATTATTAATGAGTAGTAAATGTTGGTAAAATCTAAAATAAACTTGTATTTTCTTTGGCTATCTTCCAAGTCTATGCATAGTAAACTACATCTAGGACTTTTAAACTAATCTAAAATGTAAATACACAGAAACAAATACACTTATCTGATTTTTCACTCTTGGAACTTACCTCTCTTATATGTGAGCTAACAAGCTTGGGTAGTAAAATTTAGGATTAATTTCATAAATGAATCAAAGTTTGGGCTTTGAGTATCATTGTACACTTTTTTCTAATACACTAAATAACATCAATTTTAATAATTTTAAGAAAAACCTATGTTGTAAGACTATTGAATCTAAAAAATAAGAATGCCAGAGATAAGTGCAGCTATATACTTCATTCCAAAAGTATCATACGTTTAAGAAAAGTTAATAGTTCAACTGGAATCAGTTTTTTATAGTGAGTACTTGAGGTTTTACTTATAAACATTATCTTGAGGTACTTACTAAGTTACTTACTACTTGTTTAATTAAATTATGTTTTACTTCTATGTTTTTGTTTGTTTGTTTGTTTTTTAAATACGGTGCTGAGGATCAAACCCAGGGCCTCACGTGTGCAACGAAAGCACTCTACCACTGAGCCACAACCCCAGCCCTTTATCTCTATGATTATGGTAAGTTTTATTTAAGGAATCAAAATAGTCTCTTTGGAAAAATAAGATTGTAAGCTGCTTTGTGTTTTTGCTTTAGAGTATGATTAAAATAATGCTACATAAAGAAACTAAAGCATTTCAGTCTATAAACATGTATTTTGGCTAATTGCCTTTCAATGATAATAAAAATTCCTCAATTTATTATTTTTTATTTTTTAAATTTTTTATTTTTTTTAAATATGTATTTATTTATTTTTCGGTGGACACAACATCTTTGTTTGTATGTGGTGCTGAGGATCGAACCCGGGCCGCACGCATGCCAGGCGAGCGCGCTACCACTTGAGCCACATCCCCAGCCCCAATTTATTATTTTTTAAAGAGTTTTTTGAAGCAAAATTGAAGTACAAAATTGTACATATTTAAAGTGCACAATTTGGAAAGCCACCTTATGTATATGCCCATGAAATCACTACTATAATCAAGATTATGAATATATCTGCCACATCCAAATTTATTTATGGTCCTTTTTGAAAACTCTTCTCACATCTCTATTTTCTATCCTCAAGTAACTGCTGACCTGCTTTCTTCACAATATATTTGCATTTTCTTGAGTTTTACACACAATATGTACCCTTTTACTTTGCTTCTTTCACTCAGCATAATTATTCTGAGATTCATAAATGTTGATTATATCAACAGTTTAGAAAACATACAAACAAACAAACCCTGAACAACTAGGATTAGAATGACTGGGTGTCTGGTTTACAAAAATTTAACATTTTAAGAAATTCTTCAACTTTTCAAAGTCGTTGTTCTGTATTATATTTCTACCACTACTGTATGAGAATTCTATATCCTCTGTATCTTTGCCTAAAACTTGACATGGTACTCTTTTAAATTTTACCATTTTTAACAAGTATTTAATGGTGTTTCTATGGAATTATAATTTGCAGTTCCCTAATGATGAATGATGCTGAGCATCTTTTTTGTGGTGAAACGTTTTTTTGAATAATTTGACCATATTTTTAATTGGGTTGTTTCTTTGCTGTCAGTTGAGATTAGATTTAGTACCTTATCTATTCTAGATATAAGATTTTACTAGATACGTGCTTAACCAAATTGTAGTCTGTGGCTTGTCTTTTAATTTCAACTAAGGGTCTTCTGAAGAGTAGGCATTTTAAAGTTTGTTGAATTTATCCAATTGTTCATTTATAGACAGTGCTTTTGGTGTTGTAGCTAAGAAATCTTTGCCTAAACCAAGGTAACAAATATTTTCTCTTGTGTTTCTTGTAGAAATTTTATAATTTGGGGGTATACATGTAGGTCCACAGCCCATTTGAGCAAATTTTTTGTGTATAGTATGAGATATGAATGAAAGCTCATTTTTGTTTTTGCATTTCAGTATTCAATAGTTTCAGAATCATTTATTGAAGAGGCAATCTTTTTCCACTACACTGCCTTTTTCAAAAATTAGTTGACCATATAGTATACACACACATACACAGGCTTATATCTGGATAGTCCATTCTGATCCTTTGACCTAATATGTCTATCTTGATGCCCATATCATGTTCTTTGGATTACTGCAGCTTTATAATAATTCTTAAAATAAGGCTGTTATTAGCTATTCAATTTTTTCTTTTTTGAGTTATCTTGCCTATTTTTCTCTTGCATTTACATATGAATTTCAGGTTAAACTTTTAAATTTCTTACAAAAAAATCCAACTAGGATTCTGATTGGATTGTCTTGAAAATATAGATCAATTCTAGAAGAATCAACCTCTTATTGAGTTCATGAGTCAGAATCCATGAATGAGGTGCATATTTCCATTAGGTTTTTAAAATTTTTCTTTCATTAATATTTGTAGTTTAGCTGGAGGTCTTTCACATTATGTGTTGAATTTATCTCTAAGCATTTCACATTTTTGTAGTTACTGAAAGTAATATTGCCTTTTAAGCAACAATGTTCAAATATTCACTACTAGTACACAGAAATAAAACCATTTTTATATAACTGATCTCACATTGTGCACTCCTGTAAAACTCAGTTATCAATTCTAGCAGCTTTCTGGGTAGATCTTAATAGATTTTTTAATTAGATGATCACATCATCTATCAGTAAAGACAGTTACACTTTTTCTTTCCAATGGGGATATTCCAACCCTCACACCCTGCCTTCTGTTACTTGCCCAAATGTTCAGATTAGAACCTTAAATATAATATTGAATATCAGTGCTGAGAGTGAACATCCCCTTGTAATTTTAGTTCATCACTAAGTATTATGTTGGATGTGGGTGTTTCTTAGATGTTCTCAAAATCTCTTTTTATTCCATGGATGCTGAGATTTTTGTCAGGATTGAATGCTGGGTTATTTCAAATGCTTTCTTTCTTTCTTTCTTTTTAACTTTTTGATATGATGAATTACATTGGTGAATTTGTGAATGTTAAATCAGCTGTTTTCCTGGAAAAACCCTCACTGGCTCGTAATGTATTTTCTTTTTGAAATATTGTTGAATTTGCTAACATTTTTAGAATTTCACATTGATATCTGTGAGAAATATTGATTTAAGTGTAGTGTTCTTGTTATGACCTTGTCTAGATTTGGTGTTAAACTAATTTTTGGAAGTTATGTAGAAATGGCATTATTTCTTCCTGAAATGTTGAAAGAGCTCAACAGTGAAGCTATTTAGGTAGGCCTAGAATTTTCCTGGTCCAAGGTTACTAATCTCTATTTCTTTAGTTGACAAATACAGTATTAATTAGATTATTTTTTCTTGAGTGAACTTTGATAATTTGTGTCTTAAGGAATTTGTCCATTTCTCAAAGTTTTTGAATGTATTGACATAAAATTGTTCATCATATTCCATTACTCAGGTAATATTCATAGACTACATAGTAATAAAACTTTTCTTATTCCCACTATTGATAAGTAAATTTTCTTTGTAATCAGTCCCACTTGAGATCAATTTTGTTTTGTTGTTCTTCTCAAAGATCATGATTTCAGTGATAATTTTGTTCCTATTTTCTGTTTCACTGATTTCCAATTGGATATTATTTTAATCTATGTACTTAAGTTCTTGATTTTTCAGTTTCGTAAAGTGGAAACTGAGGTCACTGCTTTGAGATCTCCTTTTATTAAGTAGGCCTTTTAGTGCTATAAATTTGCCCCATGTTTAAATACTCAAGTTATTTTTTTTATTATTGTGCTTTGAAGTTCACCAATATTTTTTCTGCCATGTTTAATCTGCTGTTAATGCCATTTGCCATATTTTTCCTCTCAAATACTGGTTTCTCATTTCCAGAAGTTTGACATTGGTCTTTTGTATCGTCCATGTTTCTAAGTTTTAAAAATATCTAGACAGTTATAAATACATGTTTTAACATTCTTCTGTGCTGATTCTAACATCTATGTCTATGATGTATATCGGTGAATATCCTCATGTGAGTCATGTTTTTCTATCTCCTTGCAGACTTGGTAATCTAACTGGATCAGAGATCTTGAGATTTTTTACCTTGTTGGGTACTGGATATTTTTGCTTTCCTCTTAAGTTTTCTTCAGCTTCCCTCTGGTATATTAGGAGTAATTTTGAGTCTTTTGGGTCTTGCTTTTTATGATTTATTAGGCAGATCTGGAACACTGGATGAATAATGGCTACTCAAAGATATCAGGTTCTAATCCCTAGAAACCAGAAGTGTTACCTTGTACAGAAAAAGGGTCTGTACAGATATGATAAAGTACTTGTCCTGGGGAATTTATCCTTGATTATCTGGATGGGTTGCAAATCCAATTACAAGTATCATTTTAAGAGGGAAACACAGAGAAAACTGTGACACACACAGAAAAAAGAAGGCAGAGTGAATAGAAGCAGAGATTGGAAAGATGTGGCCATAAATCAAGGAACAGCCGTAGCTAATAGAAGCTATAAGAAGCCAGGGATGGATTTTCCTCTAGAGGCTCTGGAGGTAGTAAGGCCCTGCCAGCACCTTGACTTTGGCTCAGAGAAATTGACCGTACTTCTGGCCAGACTTGTGAGTAAATAAATGTCCACTGTTTTTGGCTACTAAGTTTGTGGCAATTTGTTAATAAGCACTCAGGAAAATAACATACCCATGTAAGTTTTTCCAGTCTGGCTATTGGTAATAAGCCCTGTTCCTGGACCTGGGATAAGGCATGGTTTCTGCTAATCCTTTATTCCTTTCAGGTGGTTTTTTCCAGGTCAGAGAATTCAGTCACATGTACAGTGACTGAACAGTACTCTACTGAATACTCCTGGAGGACTCCAAAGCACTCCCTGAAGATCTCCAGGGTTCTCTCTGTCTGCAGCTCTTTCCACTCTAACTTATTTGGTATTCCCAAACTCTTAGTTCTGCCTCCTTAAATTGGGAAGTCTGTCAGGCTTTGCCTCAATACCTTTTCTCCATGCCATGTCCCAGAAACTCCATGAAGGCACTAACACAAAGGGATACTACCTTTGTTTCCTGTCTTTCAGGAACTGTTTTTCTTCCTTGCCAGATGTCTAGGATGTTGAAAACTATCATTTCATGAATTGTGTCAGGCAAGATTGTTTCAGTAAGGCTGTTTACTCTCTCTAGGCAGGAAACTCCATTAATATTGGCAAACATCTGCATTTATTTTTATGCTTTTTGGGTAAAGTAAAACGAATGTACAATATAAAAGGACATTCAGGAAACCAATAAATAGTGTTCATAAAATTCATAGAAGTTTTCATTTAACAAGTCTTATTGAAAATTCAGAAGTAAATAAAATGTTAATATTATCCAAAAATTCTATTGTAAATTCCTTGAAGAGAGTCCTAAAATAATTTCCTTAAACACATAAGTTTACTATGGCTGCTACTAACTTTCATTAAAAACAAACAAACAAAAAACTGACTAAAAGAGAAAATAAATTATCTCAGAAAAGTAATAAGTTTAGAATTTTGTATAGTTCATACCACAACTCAGATTGAAATGAATTGAGAATGTACTCAATTGTTTGTATTACTTCTTAATATAATAATGTTTTACTGGTGAAAGAAAACACTAAAAGGAAAATCTTGAGTGTTTACCCTTCTCATTAAAAGCAAAATTTTACTTCAAAGCTTAGGAATCTTTGAAAAACAACTTTTACCCAATGTAAATGGGAATTTAAATCTAAAATGTAAGCTATAATTTTCTTTTACTCTCAAGGTTTACAATAATATCATTCAGTATAAAGTTCTCAATAAGCAAAACATACTGAAAAAAAAAAAAAACATCATATAACATTTATTAAGCACACTCTATACCAGGCTGTATGATAAGTATTTTATGTGTATTATCTCCTATAATCCATACCTACTGTCTTGGATACATATTATTTTTATCCTAATTTTAAAGATGAAGCTCAAAGACATTAAATAAATATTTTAAATCATATAACTTATTTAATATTCAAGGGTGAACTTGAATTCAGTCATATTCTAAAAATAGTAAGTAGCAAACTCAAATTTCCTTTTGAGTAAAATTCAGCTAATTACAAAGGCATTTATATAAAGTCCTATTAGATAGTAGTTTCCCCTAAATTTCAAATATCAAGAAATATTTTAACTCAATATTTCAAGACTTTTGTTTTAGAACATGGAACTATAATAATTATTTCTAATACATATGCAAGCTAACAAGGTACACTGATACTTAAAAAAAAAACCCCAAAACAGTTTCTTATTTAATGCATTTGTTCACAGCCTCTCATAAAGAGATCAGTGAAATCACTCAGAGAAAAACGGATACTTTTCTTTTAGGTATAAATATCCTTCTGTATACAGAATATATAAAAAGGAATCACACAATTTGCCCTAAAATATATAATTATTTTCACACTGAACTACTTGTTTAAAAAGGATATATGTGCATGTGGGCAATGGGTATAAAATATATATAGTTTTTCATATTTCTTTTCTATCCCTGAAAAGATAAATATGGATCAATAAGATGAATTATCTGTATAAAGATGCTTTTATCATAGGTGTTTCAAAGTAGTGCTCTGAAAGTCTAATAAAAAGGTTTTGAACTTTCTCAAGTAGGCTCATTTGTACACTCCCATGAGAGAAAGGAACAGACAGCATAAGGGCCTTTACAGAATAATTTACCTCTGAAGAAATCACAGTAAAATTTTTGTTATTTACCTGAAGATTTTCACAGGTCTCTTGACTATATGTAAGTCTCTGAATTTCTGTAGGTGAAACAAGATATAATGCTTGTCCATTGTTGGTGAAGCAGAATGTTCTGGCTATCCGCATATTGGTGAGAGGCAAGTAATACACATCCAACAGAGGCCTTAAACTTGGCAAACTTGAAAAAATTAAAAACTTATTAGCAATAAATACGGCAGGTTTTAAGTTGTGAAAAGAGCAATACAGAAGTTAAAAATGGCAGGGACTTGTAAAATCTTACGATTTAGTTTATAACCCTTAGTGGGAATAAAGAATGATCTGTTTTCCTCCTATACTTGTTCACTATTAACCGAAAGAAAATAGTGACAGTGTATGAGACTATAAATAAAAAAGCATTTCTTTTAAACTAAATATAATTCTGAAACATGATTTGGGGAAAGAAATACTGTATGTGTCTTTAAAAACTCTTTCTTACCTGAAAGTCATAATATGGCCATTAGCACAGAAACATGCAAGGCAGATGCTGTTATTCAATGCTACAATATCTCCACGAAGCACAAAGGAGGTTTCTGTAATGTTTTGCTTATAAGCACAGTTCTGGGTTGGCAGTGAGATTACTTTTGCTTGCTTTTCAGAACATATCACTGCATATTGGTTTTCACTAATTTCCTGAGAAGAGGAGGGAGATACTGAGACAGGTCGCCGTTTTTTCAATTTTTCTTTTTCATCCTTTTCTTCAGGAACATTATGTTCTTTCCAGGGTTCATATGCAGGTGGCAATAAGCAGCCTGTGGTATCCAGAAATGCCATTCTCAGGACTGCACCTTTAAGTCTCAATATAGTACCTAAAATTAATAAGTTTAGTAAATAATTGAAATATTTTATTAAATATGCTTATTCTAACTCTGACACCAAGTAGACATTCAAGAGTATGCTGAATGAATGTTACATTAAAATTATGCACTGGGTCACTGATAGGATACAAATTTCAAGCATTATATTTATGCTTGAACTTGTGAGTTTGGAAAAAGATATCAATACTACATATCCCAGATAGATAAATGCTGCTGATAATTTACAATTAAACATGATAGACTTTGTAAACATATATCTAACCTATAGATTAATAAACAATGGTATGCTGAGTATCTGGAACTATGGTCTCCTTTTTATACTCAGGTAAGTGCACTACCAATGCATATGAGAACATATTGATAGCATATGGCTTCTAGAGCTACGTTGTCAGTATGGCAGCTACTAGGCACATATGGCTTCAGAACACTGGAACTATCGAAACTGTGGTAGATAATTGTGCTGTGCAATGAGAATAAAACAGATGCTAGACACAACGACTTTAGTACCAAAAGAAAAAAAATAGAAAATATTTCAATAATTTAAAAATATAGATTATATTATATGCTGAAATGATGGTATTTTTGATACACTGGGCTTTATAAATGTTACTAAAATTAATTTTACCTGTTTTTTTAGTTTTTTTAAAAGTGGCTACTAGAAAATTTAAAAGTATACATGTGGTTTCCCTTTCATTTCTAATAATAATGAAAATGATTATTCCATATATTTCTAAACATTATATATAAATCATAATACCTTTTTAAGTTATTCACCAGTAAGTATCAGATACATTCAAAGTTTTATTTTTGTCAGTTTATAGTCTTGATTTTGGGGTTACACTGACTGATTTGCTTTAATTAGTGGCATCCTCCTGAAAAATGTACACATGTGCTTTATGCTCATTTCTAAGTACATTAAATGAACATAAAAGTCCAATAGATGGAGGATGTAGAACTGATTTAATTTTTCTAACTTTTAAAAAATGATTTTCATATATCATTACTTTATATTAACATAATATTTTCTAGTCTGCAAAATTTTTTCCCATATATTATTTTCTACCAATTTTAAGAGAAAGAGACTAAGAATAAAAGAAAATGAGAGGTTCTCTCAAATTTTTTCTTAGGAGAAAATATATTTTTTCTTTCTTTTTTTTTACAAATATATGTTTGCTCTACAGTAGGGCTGCCAGCAGGAAGTTAAACTTGAATTTCAGATAAATAAAAACTTTAATAAAGTATGTTCCTAATACTAGGTATCTTTCTAAATACAGGATGTACTTATATTAAAAAGGTATTTGTTTTTGGAATTAAAATTTGGGCATTCTATATTTTTATTTGCTATATCTAGTAAATACAGCTTCCAGTCTAGGTTTGATAAGTAGATAATTTAGCTGGTTATTTTAAATAGGTTGGTAGAAAAATATGAGAAACAGCAGTTATACTCTTATAGCTTTAATCACTATTACCTAAAAGCATATTCTAAAGCTAACTCCCTACCCCCACAAGACCTCTTATTTTACTCTTGTTCACCCCAAGAGTTCTTCCAGCTTTAAAGCCTTAATGAGGTTAGGGGAATTATCCATGTTAATTTGGGAGCTGTTTTTAGCACACACATGGTTCTAGTACGTAGATCTTCCAGAAATGGCCCTAAATAACATTTGAATGGTCCTATAGTTGGTGAGAGTTTAGCACATTTCACAGCAGAGTAATGGACTTTCCTCTTAAAGAAAAGAAAAAAAAAGGGGCAAAGTAGATAATTTTAGATTCATAATCACGGAAACCCATCTGCTTAAAAAATAGCTCTTTCACAGTTCTAATACAGATGATATAAGCATCACTAATATATTTTGAAAACGGCATCACTAAAAATAAAGCAAAAGGGAAGTAATGGAGAATGAATGGGAGCAAATTATGTTATGTTCATACAGAAATATGTGACAACCAACCCCACTATTATGTATAATTATAACACACTAATAAAAACATAAAAAATATAAAAAAAGAAACTTTTAGTTTTATTTTTGCAAATGCATATTATTTTGTATCAAAGAAACTTTATAAATAATTTGATTTTATTGCAATTCGGGGAATATTTTGAATACTTTTGTGTAGTTAATAGTAAATGATCTATGTTGAATCCCTCTCCTTCATTTTTGCTTACTGGAAACAGAAACAGATATATGTTTGTTGTAGAAAATTTATTAACTACAAATTAGTAAAAAGAGAAAAGTAAAAATTATCCTAAGTTCGATGAACCAGTTAATTCCTGTCAACATTTTGATTTCCATCTTTCAAGACTTTTTTGTTCTTACATAAATATTTGTCATTTACTAGTGATTAGTAGAAATGCCAATATTATCTAAACTGTTTTCTTCAATCTACAAGTATGTGTACATTATATATTCAAATATTTATTGAATAAATAAATCAAATTACTTATTCAGTGTAAATACAGTTTAGATGAAGATTAAAATAATAATTACATTTTAATTCTAAATTCCAAGAACTATAAAATCTGCTATAGAAATGAGATACATAAACTAGCAAGTCATGGTAGTCTCTATTAGGGTGATCATTAAATGAGTAGAGAAACCAGATTTCTCAGTTATTTCTAGATATAATAAACTATAGACATATTTGATAAAACCCAAAACTAATTTTTAATATACAAAGATCAATTTTTTTTTAAAAAAAGTCTGTTATTAAGTCACTTTTTCCTAATTCTTTGAAGAATATTTTTCTAATTTGTAGCTACTTTCCCTGTGGCCAGTCCCACACCTGTCTCAACTCCTATCCTCGCTTCTCTTGGAAATACACTTCTATGTTTACTGGACTTTCTTCCCATTGTGTCTCACTATGTAAAATCAAATGACATCATTAAACAAACCACTACATTCTTCTCATGACACTCCTATTAATGGTACTCCTGTTCTCCTAAGCAGAAGCACTTAAAATAAGCCATAGTTCAGATTTCATGTTTAGAGATTAAAAACAGCCAAGTTCAGTTTTCTTCTCCAAATACATAGTATCTTTTGCCTGTAGAATAAAATTTTAAGGCTTTAGGAATATCTTACTGTAATGACAATTTTTTTTCATTTTATTATGTACTTAATACATGGCTGTAGAATTTTTAAAAATGTAGAACAGCTATATAATGGTATTTGAAATCTTGTTCCATTGGTATTTGAAATCTTGTTCCATGTATTCCTTCATTAAAAACATAAAACTATCACTCTCCTCATTTACTTTACATTTTAGAATTCTTAGACCAATTCAATAAGGTAGGGAAAAAGCTCTAATTAAATCATAGCAAGTCATACTTATAATATAATTCTAAGTGCAGCTTAAAAACATACATACCACTTGGAGAAACAATCACGGGCTGAAGAAGTCTTTGCTCTGCTCCTGGGGGAAGGTTCAGTGCAATGACAAGCACTGTTCCTAGTGTTGTTCCAACCCACAGACTTGGGGAAGGGGACGAGTCCGCCTTTCGAGTAAAAGTTTCACAGAAATGAAGAGCAGAGATTGCTTCTCGGGATTCTTTGTCTATGCTTGTGACACTTGAACTCCGTGATCTGCTGAAGGAATTATCTTTTACATCTGAAATGATTTAAAATATTGTTGCGATTGCTTATTATAAAATATCACACTTTCCTGTTATAAATTTGGTCAAATAGTTAAACCTTCAAAAAACCAAAACTATGGCATATTTACTATTATTTCCTTTAAACCAAAAGGAAAATAATTTACTTTTTATGTTTGTAAAATTTCCCTTTTGTGTAAATGTAAAATATAAATAAGTAAATCCACAGTTTTCAGAACTGAGCTGGGTGAATCCCAGTGAATTTCTGAATGTGATGTCTGGCACGCCGGTTGCTTTTATAAGCTTAGTTCTTACCCCCTTCTGTTCTCAAGATGCTGTTTCTTCCTTTGTTAACAATTCATGATTTGGTAGAACCAGAAAAGTGAAGGTCTTTTCAATTTTCTAGATATTAGAAAAATATATTTAGAAGTACCCTGAGGTGAGCCTATTATGTTTTTTCAGTCTCACCATATGAGTGCTTTTAATAAATAAAAATTTAGCTTCCATTTTTCTTGAAAGCCATATAAACTGTAATCAACATTCATCTAAGGCATTTTTCTTCAAAATGCATAACTGATATCTGAAATATACTTAATATCAGGCATATTCCTTTTACTTAGTTTTATCTGTAATGACAGGAATATTTGAAAATTATACAAATAAATCTTCCCTCAATTTCAGTTCCTTTCTCTGTGGCCACTCTAAAGCCTACAATGAGATTCAATCTCACTCCACTCAGAATGGCGATTATCAAGAATATAAATAACAACAAATGTTGGTGAGGATGTGGGGAAAAAAGGCACACTCATACATTGGTGGTGGGATTATAAATTGGTGCAACAACTCTGGAAAGCTGTATGGAGATTTCTCAGAAAACTTGAAATGGAACCATCATTTGACCCAGTTATCCCACTCTGGGTATATACCCAAAGGACTTAAAATCAGCATATGATAGTGACAGCTACATCAATGTTTATAGTAGCTCAATTCATAATAGTTAAGCTTTGGAACCAACCTAGGTGCCCTTCAAAAGATGAACTGTTAAATAAAATGTGATGTGTACACACACACACACACACACACACACACAATGAAATATTACTCAGCCATAAAGAAGAATGAAATTATGGATTTTGCCAGTAAATGGATGAAACTGGAGACTATCATCCTAAGTCAAATAAGCCAGTCCCCCCCAAAACAAAGGTACAATGTTCTCTCTGATTTGTGGCCCATTACACACAATAAGGGGGCAGAGAGAGGAAAGAATAGAAGTTCATTGGATTAGACAAAGGGGAATGAGGGAAGGGAGGGAGGATTGAAATAGGAAAGATAGTAGAATGAATCAGACATAACTTTCCAATGCTTTTATATGAATACACAACCAGTGTAACTCCACATCATGCACAACCACAAGAATGGGAAGTTATAATCCATGTATGTATAATATGTCAAAATGCATTCATGTATAGCTAAAAAGAAAACAACAACAAAAAGAACAAGTATTGCATCAAATCTGTCTGGCTTCCTGCTTTACCATATGATCTCTCTTTCCACACACACACTTCTACCATGATGCCATCTAACATGTTGTGATATAACCAGAAGGCCCACACCAGAGCCAAGAAGATACTGGTACCATGCTCTTGAATCTCTGAAACTTGAGCTAAATAAACCTCTTTATAAAATACCCAGCCTTAAGTATTTTGAAATACAAACATACAATTGATAAACTATCTAATGAAACAACTCTCCATAAATAAATAGCTCATTATCAAATGAGTTTGCCATATATTGATTCCAAATATTTATTTACTTATGATTTAGTATAATGATATAAATTTTGTTTATTTTCTAATGATAAATATATTTGTACTTAAATAAAGCATACACATAAAAGGTAACTAGATACATAGTTTTAGCTGTGACCTAGTGATAACAATGGAAAATAATGATACAAGAAAATCTGATAATATTAATTTCAATGTAAACTAATCTGTGAAAAAACTCTTACTGATATTTACTAAAATCACACAGGCAATTTACAAAACCTAAACTTTAAACGTTAACTCATAGGCCAAAGGAATAGTGTTTGAATTTAAAGGATTAATTTGACTACATAACATCATAAACTATAATTATACTTTTATTACATGAGTTATCTACACAATTAATTACCAAAGAAACTAAGGCTAAGTCAATATGAGAGGATGTAATGACTAGGAATAAGATTTACACCTGGTAGGTATCAGTTGGTTATTTAATTTTCTACCTAAAACTGTTCAAAAACACATCATAATTTTTAGTAGTTCATGAATTACAACTTCCACTTTCTCCTATTAAGTTAGGTATTGTGAGTCTGTGATTTCAATTTCAGCAATTGGGAAGCTAAACAAATAGAATAGCATGAATTTTAATAATTTAAGTAAGCAGAACAGAAATGAAAAACGTTAAAATTAAGTACAGCTTAACATGTCAGTTACTGTCATAATACTTGAAAAATATTATCATCACAATTTAACAAACAAGTAAAGCACACAGAAGTTAAATGGCTTGCCCATGATGACAAAGCTAGTAAATGGTTGAATCAGGATCTGTGCCCCTGTTCAAGTCTAAAATGTTCTATTAGACAACTATGCACAGTTTTATCACCAATATCATCTTAACTCAAAGGTTACAGTTATTTTTGAGCAGCTAAGTTCAGTCTTCAGATGCCAGAAAAGTACACAAATATGATCTTTCTGGCATATCTAAAATCAGATTAAATTTATCATTAATACCTCTATCCAGTTCTAGCTAATAGAAGTGATGTCACAAAATCTTTGCTTTCATGCTACCTCCCAGACACTGAGAACATTCTACTTGTATATATCACTGTCTCCTCCCAACAGAGAGCTGTATGCAACAAAAATTCATATTCCCAAATCAAAACAATGCCATATGCAATAAAGGCAAACAGAATATAATTATGTTTAATAAAAATTAACCTGAAATTGCACACTATTGTTTTAGTTTTTTTCTCTTTAATACAAAGTATGAGGGAATGAGGAAATACACTATCCAGATTAGCTTGAATTTGTACTATAATTGTGTTATAATTTGCAGAGTTTTCTGAAGACTGTTCCAAAAGATGCTTAATTCTCAAATAGCCATTATAAACTTTATTTCCATTGAAAAATCTCAATCATAGTTTTAAATCTTCTCTTCCCTTTTCTATAATAGAGAGCTCAATTTCTTCAGATATTTATTTTACTTACCTAAATCAGGTTTCAGGTCAGTAGGTAAGCTTAACTTCCTTGACATCTTTGCTGAAAAATAAAATGCACTTTAAAAAATCTGAAAAATATTTGTTCTTTAATTAATGCCAACTGATTTTCAAGACAGAAGTGAATACTTTTGTTATTAAGTCTAGATGCTACAATAATTAAAATAAGATTAATAATATTAGGAGTGGAAAGTAAATTTTACTTTCAACTTTTAAAAGTTTGTACTTACTTGACATAATACATTTGTGTCCTTGAAAGTCTTACTTCAAGGAATCCTTTTAAATTTTAACATTCAGTTATTACTTAGGTTTATGGGAATAGGTCAGACTTTTCTAAGAGTAGAAAAGTCATTTCTCAGAAGGAAGATGTTGCAGATAAGGACAATAGAAGCATAAGACAAATCTTTAGTAGCAGAAAATCTTTTCAGTTCCTCATCTTCACAGCTATTGAGCTCATTTTTTTTAAGTTAATTTCTGGAATATAGGACAATCAAATCAAAGTTTGATTATATCTTAAAATACGATTCAATATTACTTGATATAAATAAATACTTCCATTCACATTTCAGCGAAAACCAAAAAAAAAAAAAAAAAACCCAAGTAATGTTATTAAATGTAAACTACAGGTATTTTTATGTAGTAATATAAAAACTAAAAGTTAATGCATAAACTTACTGGAATTCACTTTCCATCCTCAAAATCAGTTATTATCTTAATCTGGGAAGGAGTTTAAAAGTTAGGAGTTGTCCAACATTATATCTATCATGTTAGTGGTAGTGCATGCGTAACAAAATAGTGCTCCCTATGTGAAATTTTGAAAAAGCATGTGTTTGTTAATACATGAATGCACATATTGGGTTAAACTTTGGACTGTTAGGAGATATTTAAAGCACAGACCCTGCTAGTCCATAAGGGCGCCATGTAAACAAAGAGAAATCCAGTCATAGTACATAACTTCCACATCTAAAAAAATGACAAATCCAATGTTAGGAAAGCGGCATTAGGCAGACTGGAAAGGAATGGGGTGGGGTGTGACATCACCTTTTTACTTCTAAATTTCATAATCTAGTTAGTATCCTTTAACAAACAACAATGGGTCAAACTTATTCATCAGTCATGCCATTTTCAACAACTTAGTACATTTCAGCTAAGAAAAGATGTAATATAAAGTTATAATAGCCAAATAAAATCTATGGTTAATTAATCTCACATCTTGACATACAGTATAATTTAAAATATTTGATGTTATTTCAAATTGTATTTGATATACAATATAATTTTAAAGAGAAACACCCTACAACAGTTCTCAAAAAGGTAATATTGAACACTGAAAGAATTCAGAGGTTTCTATCAAATATAACAGGTCCAATATACATAGAGTGTTATTATCTATACAATGTGTAGGGCAGCTGAAGTAGAAAATCAATCTGGCACAAAGATTTTAGAATCAAATGATATGATGCCACCTGTGTAAACTGTTCTGAGCCTTTCAGAGTTGAATGTCCATATCCATCACTTAGGAATCTTCCTGATATGCACATTCTGATTCTGAACTTCTGGACTTTGGGTTGAGAGGCATTTCTATGGTTTGAGAGGCCAAGTTCCTAGACTATAAGCAACTTCAGGCTAGGAACCAAGACAAATTCCAGAAGTCCAGTAATGTACATACAGTGAGCCAAGAAAAACATTTCTTGTACAAGTTTTAATATCTATCTTATAAAAATGTGGAAGTGTGGTAGTTAGAACTGGGTTTGGAATCAGCTGGCTGAGTTAAAATCCAATTCAACCAATAACTAGGTCTGTAGCACTAGACCAATTACTTTGTTTCTCTAAACCTCGAATTTCTTCTTCTATAAAATGAGGATAGTGTGAGAATTATATGACATGATGTAAGCAACTGAACATAATATCTGGCACACAGAATGATTTAATAAATGTTAGTTATTATATATTATTAATAAAATGAGTATGGATTTTTCATAAACTGCAAAACACTATAAAAATAAGCTATTACTGTGCTTGCAAATAAACTAGCATCCCTTCATTTTAATTCTATGGTAATGCTCAAAGTAAAGATAACAAAACAACGGGGGAAAAAAACCAAACCAAAATAAAACCTTTAGGACAAAAAGTACAGAATGAAATGTATCACTCTGAGTTCAACCTTTCAAATTTCAAAAACTAAATTTGATATATGGCTAAACATAGCCAAGTGATTTAACCTGGGTAATTTATGAGTAACATGTTTATCCCTCTTTAAATATATTAGAATATGTTAAGTGAATATTTTACCATTAGAAATGTTTCTGTTGATGTTTTCATTAACCAGACAGATTCCTGACCAAAAAAAAAAAAAAAAATTCAAAAAAATTGAATTTTATAAGTATATACTTTTGACCTTTGTTAGGATTTCTACTAGAAACTTTACATGGATGCCTCCCAACAGATTAAAATTGTGCCTAGCAGTATACTTAATTTCTTTATTGTATACACATACTGAATACAAATAATCATCTTTAAATAATAGGTGCTCTCATTTCAACATTTCACTTAGATACTGAGAAGTTAAAACCACACTAAGAGAATTTTAGAATATATTTTATTATGAATGTCACAAACAACTTTTAATCATGTAGCATATTCATTATTTCCTCCTGAAGTACTTTGCAATTACAGATCCACAACCCAGCCACTAACTCAAGCAGTGCTCAAATGACAGAAATTTAAGCCACATTACTATTTGGATATAAATTTAAGCAATTTCCCTGAATATAGAACTTGAAATGGTAAAAATACATTAGAGAATTCATCTTTGTTAGTCTGTGTTAATTCCAGCTATCAAGTAATAATTTAAAAATTGAATTGTTTTGATGAGTTGAGAACAATCTTTGTTATATCAAGATGTGGACTAAGACAGTCCCATTATCAATTCACTTATTCAATATTTATTGTTCCAGGAAAACAATGTGACAGAGGGTAGGGATATGCTTCTTCCTCACCAGGGGCTGAGTCAATTAGAAGAGACAACTTCAAAGGAGTATAGTAAGTACTACTCACTGAGGCAAGCACAAGGTACAGTGCATTAATCTTTTAATCTTAGCCTGAAACACTTATCTGAGACTGTGAGCTAGCTAGACTCTGATAGAATTAATGGTCAAAAAACAAACAAATAAACAAACAAGCAAAAAACACTTCACAGTATACACACTACTTTCACACTATGTTCAGATAGTCTATGCTAATGGTGAAAAAATGCACTCTGTTCTTTTGCATTAAAAAGATTCTTGTTGACAGTATTTTTCTAAACATTTTTTTTGTTGACAACATTTTTGTTTTGAGGTAAAATTTATATAAATTATGTATCTTAAAGTATGTTCACTGTTTTGACAATGTATATACCTGTATAATTCAAATTCTTAGGGCATGACCATCATCTCCAAAGTCATACATGGTGCTTCCCTCTTAATCCCTGCTCTTGCCCTTCAAAATAAACACTTTTTCCCACCATAAATCAGTTCAGCTTGTTCTACAACACACATACACATACATATGAAGGAATGTAGGTGAAAAATATGAAGCCAGAATGATTATTCCCTACCTCTGAATATAACTTCCCTATTTTGCATGGATGCCTTGAGGGATGAGGGAGATAAGGAAATAGGAGGAAGGAAGACATGAAGGAAGGGGAGACAGAATGGGAGGGAATTTAAATTCCTGGAGTTAAAACTTCTGCTATAAATGTGTTTGTAAAGGTTTTCCTTGAGTGATAAGGCATTTAACTAAATGCTTGCTAATTGACAGGCAGAACTGTGCAGTATCTAACACAGTCTTATTGTGAATGGATCTGCTGTAGTATTATCACCTACCCATATGTGATTTTTAAACTTAAACTGAATGTTCTTATTTTTCCTTCATCTCACAAGTACTTAGTGTGAAAAACCCCAGGCAGTAGCTGTAAGCTAGACATAGCATTATTAACATTAAAACTAGATTTTAAAAGAAGATTTTATAAAAATAATTCTCATTATAAAGATTCTAGCAATGCAGAGGAACACACAAAATAACACCCAACATCCCAACAAGAAGAAAGAATCATCTGAATCAGCTGAGCAATCTTCTGATATCTGCCTCTGTATAGATACAGATGACCACTAATAAATATTTGAAGAAACAGCTTCATTTCTTTTACTAACTTGGAGTTTAATTTTCTTCTTATGATGAAGACTTAAGATCACTGGCTTAAATCAGTACTTTCCAAACACACATTTACATTTCCCAGAATCTGGTACACAGATTTCTAAAAATTCTCATCTGAACTGTTCTTGTTTTATCTGCCCTACAAATTCTAGTCACAACAGTAGCCTAGAATAGCCAATCTGCCTCCTTAGCTGGTCAAATTTCAACTCTACCTTGTCTCTATGCACCCTGTTCTGCAATAGCAGATGTTCTGTGCCAGACAGCTGGGAAGACTGTGGTGCTTACTTCTCTTTTTTTCTTAAGGATAATGTTCTAGAATGCCTGTTTTTCAATATTTGAAAATGACAGATTCATATATTTTGATCAGTTTTTGGCTGTTTTCTGTAGAAAGCTGTTCTAAACTTAAGGACTAAATTGAACTTCAGGCTAAAAGTTTGTATCTTTCAATTTTTGTGACTTCTGGGGAATATACTTATTTTCAAGGCTGTTTGGTCAACCTTCCTGATAGCAAATCCATAAAAGATAGATCCTCTTCTGGTCAGCCTTCATGGCTCATTCCCACACTTGGGTATAATGTCATGATGAGGAAGTTGCAGACTTCATTCAGTTTTATGATGCTCAGGAACATATGCCAATCCAGTTACCCTGACAGCTGATTTCACTTCATTTGTCAAGAAACTTCTGTACATGCTTTGAAACTGCTCATGTTCCACTGCAACTTTCAAATTAAATGCTTAAGATTTAAATGAATTCTTAGAAGACAAGTTATCTGTTTTTCTTTCCTTCCACGGTATATTCTTCAACTCTCACCCCTGAACCTCAGTATCTTCCTTGCTTTGAAATTCT